GGACAACTGAAGTGTTCATTGCCTATTCCATATAATTATCTCCAGAGATATTTAGGGCATCAAAATTCTCATAATTCGACATCTGAAATCATATTATCAATCAATTCAGAATTTAGAATTTATGCATTCAAATTAGATAATCAATGCATATGGTTTCACAAGTCTCTTGACCAAAATAATTTACTACTCGGCCAGGTTTCTAATAAGGCCACACGACCAAGGTTATAAATCATGCAATTAAGGTTTATCAAACAAGACTAGCAACTTAACTCTCATTCAAAGATAATGAATCGGATTTTATATGTGAATGCGACCAATGCATCATTCAAACAAGTAATCTCAAAGATAATAAGGCCACACAGCCACGAGTATGCAAGCAAGGTCACACGACCATTTTGGGTATGATGCATTGCTAGACCACACGGGCCACATAAATATGTACTAAGCCACACGACTTTCTATCACATGATGCAAACAAGCTTAGGATTTAGATGACCTATATGCGGCCAGATTATTATGCACAAAAGACATACAACCATACTATCAAAATATAAACAAGGCCACACGGACATTCTCTTAATAAGCAAACAAGTCTTGATGATCAGTATAAATATGCATCTAGGATTTCAAGGTCATTTAGATTTATAGAATGCATCGAGTAATCTATCATCTTAGCTCTCATCAAGTTAGATCGATCAATCATTCGATTTTAACAAATTAGGGTTTCAAGGCCTTTTTAGATATTCAAATTCGAAAATAGGGTTTCAAGGCCATTAATGCTTCCAGTTCGAATTTTAGGGATTTAGGTCATGTAGCAAGCAATCTCTCAATCTTAACTTATAATCCAAAAACAATGATTCAAAATTAGAGTTTATGCGGATCTAGGGTTTCAAGGCCCAGACTTTTAGGGTTTCGATTACAGAAAATAAAATAGCAGTCTTGGCATTCAATACCCCAAAATAGACCAATCAATTCAATAAGCAACTACCAAGAACCTCAAATCTGATCAATCAACTATAATTTAGGGTTTAGGTCAAAAATCGGATTTTAGGGTTTGTATCCATAAAATTAGGGTTTCAAAATCAGAGACAATCAGACTAGCAATCCTAGCTCTCAATGCTTTAATTGAATCAATCCAGAAACCATAACCAGTTTTAAATTCAATTCGGATCAAACAAGTTCAATTTAGGGTTTGGGGAAACAAATCTATTTAGTGTTTCAGATTCTCAGAAAGAGATCAGGGAATTAATATATTAGCATTCTAAACCTCAGAACTTTAATTTAAATCAAGCAATCAATCAAAGATTAAAAATAAGATCCAAATTTGGGGTTAGGGTTTTGATCTTAAAATTTAGGGTTTATGGGGTAAAACAATTCTGGTCGACTTTTAATCAAAGCAAGAACACAATCAAATAATCACATAGTGTCTCAAGTTATTAACATGATCAATCAAACAATCAAACAATAAAAACAATTGATTTTAATTTTAGGGTTTTGATTCAATTCATGCATGGAAAGCGGTTTTAGGGTTTGATGATTTAAGAGAGAAGGATTCATGCTTCTAGCAACGTATCAACCATTGATCTATCAACCTAACATGCAATCAATCTAACCAAAACCTAGTTCCTTAAGAGTTTTATTATCCTCGATAAGGTTTTTATCAATTTTGTGGTTTTTATGGTTCAGATCTTTATCATACAAACAATTCGATGTAGGTTCTCTTTTAGGGTTTCGATATTACCTTGATTCAAGTAGGGTTGAAAACCGGTCCACCAAGGAGAAGAACCACGATCTGGATTAGAACTGAGACGAGTTGGATGATCGTCGGATTTAGTTGGTACACAGGCCGTGGTCGAGCTTCTTTGCGCGGGTACGAGCTTGCTTGGTTCGCAAACTGATTTGTTGATCTTGCTGAGTTTCTGTTCGATGGTTATGATCAGATTGTGTCACAGGTTTGCAGCTTCAAGTTGAGGTTGAAGTTCAATAATCTTGACTTAATTATCACGCCAAAGTAGAAGAGAAAAACGTGGCTAGGGTTTGTGATATGGGAGTCTGATTTTTCTAACTTAGTGTATGGACGATCGTGATGATAACGTGTTGTGAATAAAGGTTGTAACTTGTGTGTTATTATTATTCATATCGAGGTCTGTATATATAAAAGTATGTAAAACGTCATAACAAAGATATAATCCTGATCCTAGTAGGATAAGGATAACTACAACAACAAAGATAAGAACCAAGAGGAGGATAAGGATAAGATGTGCTCCTGTTGTAGGATAAGGATAAGGTGTGCTATAAACCGCCAAAGACATAATTAGGATAAACCTGATCTGATCCAGTAGAACCCGGATGGGCTTCTGGTCCTGCGGACGAACCCGGCCCGGTTTAGTCCGGTCAAGATATAGCCCAACCACCAAATGGTTCTTAACATGATTCTTTAACTTAAAGAACTTTGACTGCTTTCATCTTTCAGTTACCAACTGTGAATCAAGAAACCGGAGTTCCGGATGCAACTGAACCAATTGAAACTCTGATGAAATTTATATCAGACAAAGACTTGATGCCACACAAGACACCGCATGGAAAGGTTATATATATTGATATACCATGGTTTCGACCCACTTTTGACCATGGTATTTATATGATTTTATAATATATATATATATATATATATGTTTTGGAGTCTATTAGGTATGCTTTCAGGTTCAAGAGCATTTTGGAGTAAAGTGATGATTTAGGTGCCCTTATGGAGCTTAAAGGAGAGTTTTCTCAAGATGACTATAAAGATCAGACATTAAGGTCGATATCCTGAGATACCTATCGATCGATACACATCTTGTGTAATCGATCGACGACGCTTCCGTAGAAGATGACTTTGGATACTCCATCGATCGATGTACACCATGTACCATCGATCGATTTGAAGCATGAAAAACAGGTTTGACTTGGCCGACTTGAAGCCCAAGTTCTCTCAATATTACAAGATTGCCCCTGACGAGTTTTTAACCTAATGGAACTCATATTTATAGTTTTGCCTATGTGTTTTGGCTAGACATGCTTTTTATGCTTTTACATGCTTTTGTGCTTTTCATACTTTTTATGTTCTTTAATTTATAAAAGTATTCTCTTCATCTTATTCTCATTTTCATAAAGGTTATAAAATTCTAGATTTAGAAGAAACACACAAAGAGATTTGTTGTTCCAAGAACCAAGAGTTCAATGTTCTAATCTAATGAATTTCTATTATTACCTATTTTCTATGAATCACTTAGCAATGTCTGAGTAGATTCACTTGTTAGATTTAGGGTTCAAATATTTATGAGGGATTAGCCCCAACTATGGATTGTTGAGTTGTGATATTCATTATCCTGATGAACCCTATTGCTTATTCTAGGCACAATGCGAGAGCCGGTCTATGATCTTGGTGAACACTTTTGATTCGATCTGAAGCTATATCGATCGATACTCTTATAGAGTAATCGATCGACGGCTACATATATCGGCCGATGTTGCGATAGCAATATCGATCGATATTGTCAGCAGTCAGATCAATGGACGAGTCTAATAGCGATAGTTATAGATTTATCTAAGAATTGAAGTTCTTTAATATCTTGCAAGCAACTTATAAAGACACCTATAGCATAATAATCCTGATTATCTGAATAGTAACCTTGAATCTAACTATTTTCTTTTATTGTTTAAAACCTAAACCAAACTCTCTTGAGCAACTCACCATTGCTCACAACTGTAATTTACTTTTAACCTTGATCAACCTAGCATAATCACTTAAGACTTTATCTTTTGTGTTCCTTAGTTCCTCGTGGATTTGATCCCTAAGTACTACAATTGAACCTCTTATTTGAGAGAGTAATTTACTCCTTAGGGTAATTTGAGTGATATCATATATTTAAAACGTATAAAAGATTTCGATTATGTACCTAGTGTGGATGCTAAACCAGTTTGTGACAGGTTTTCTTTGGTAAGGATATGGTTTAGAACTGGAACATAACCAACAACCAAGGCAAAGGCAACAAGACAATCGAAGTTGGTGATTCCATCTCGGTCCTAAAGATGACCTCTTCCGTATCTGAAGCAACTGTTTAAAGTCGACTCGAATATATATAAACATTTTGCTTCATCTCTTGTGTTTTTATCTTTAAATAATTTAGAGAAAGATGATTTCTTGCTTATGTAACTTACAAACACCACTTATTCTGAGTTTCATCTTGTTGAAAGTGTATTCACTGGCTTGAGTAGTCTCGGTGGATCTTAACATTTTAAAACCTGAGTACTTGGAATAAATCTTTAAAACTAATAAAAGGATCCATCTCATTTATCATATATATAAGTCTCCGTCAGGTTCTTGAAATTATGGATAGGTTTTATGGATCTTGTAGATTTATAAGAAGACATCTTTAAGCATGAAACATTTTAGCTTAAAAAAAACAAGGAAGGGTAAAAATGTTCAAACGATTACATGTAACACTTAAATTTACTAGTTTTTAATATAAAAAAACTAGATAATTATATTGTTACAAACTATAAGAAACAACCGAGAGTTTTTTCTTTCGTATGAGGATTCTCGTTTGACTGTACGATGCTGAGTCTTCCTATGAGATCTACGCTTAATAGTACTCCATACAACATACTGAAGATTTCTTCTAAGTTTTTATCCATTATAATCTGCATATATAATTCAACCTTTTCTAGGACTCGAAATCCAAATTTCATGTATGGTGTAGAAGCATTAGTGAACTCTTAATCAGACCATTATATGACTTTGAAGAAGCTACATGATATTTTAAAAGTGCAATATTTTTTTTTATAACAATAAAAATACATTTATAAATATATATAAGATATACAATGCTAGTTAAAGTAACGTTACATATATATTTACAATTACATTATATTTGATAATTTTAAAGTATTATAAAAAATAAATTAAAATATTAAAATAAATCCGCAGGTAGCATAAATAAAATACATAATGATATGCCTTATGTTTTTGGTACAAATGTACCAACATTCCAATGAAATTTAAATTCCCCTGGTTTTTCATATCTCCTTGTAAAATAAATTCCATCTTTTCTGGCAGTATATGAACGTAGTTGGCCACATCGTCCGAGAGTGGCTTCCCGATATGCTAGAAAATCATGGTAATACTTACCATACTTGAAATAACAATCCGTTGTTGTCTTTGTATAAGTGACCGCAGCGTCTTTGAATTCGAGGACACGTGTGGTGTTAAATTTTAATTCTTGTGTTTCAAAAGGATATTTGCGCGTCTTGTCACGACAATAATAATGAAGAACAATACCAGGACCAAGCTGATTATGAAGTTCTATACGGTTGATCTTGCAAGCTGTACCAAATCTGTAATAGGTAGCAAAAACCAACATAAAACTTATAAGAAGATTCATGTTTTAGATTAAAGATATTTTAATCAGAGAATCAATGTGCAATATTTATATAAAAACTGTAATCATTCTTATAATTTAGTAAATAGTCTATTTATGGTGTTAAATAAATTTAAAATTAGACATGGACTATTTTTACCACTAGTTCAAAGAAATTTGAATGCAAAAAGTATGAGTAACCAATAATAAAATTAGAAAATGAATTAATATTTGTAAGTAGTAACTCACTCTTAAATAAAAATAGAAAAGTCTAAAAATGAGCAAAATATTGAAAATTTATTATTATAAAGTGCTGACATATTTGAAACACTTAAACAATTAATTTAAAGAATTCATGTGACATAATCGAAATTGCGAAACATAATTTAATATTGTGAGAGGAATTTAAATCTCTGGGAAGTAATAATGTACACGGTTTTTGTTAATTGTTATAACAAAATTATAGTGGCGATTCAAAAGCACACACATATTTTAACATTTAACTTTATTGATATCATGATGTATAAACAACACTTCTTAATTGATTCGTAGGATAGACTGATTCTTAGTTTTTCTCATCTTCATTCTTGGTCTTGTATGATCATGTCATGACTCTCATTTGTTGTGAAAATATTTTGTTTATTTAAAAGTAAATAATTATAGGCAATTCATCTGTTATATCACAATCCTTTCTAAACATTCAAGTTGAATAAGATAACATGATAATATACATGTCCATGAAATTTATATTCTTTTTATTTGTAACCAGTAAAGGTAAATCTTCAAATTATTATGATGTATGAGCAACATCTTCTGACTCCTTATGTATTTGAAGCATTCGCTCCCATGTATCACCTCTTTATATTTTGAATTCAACATTAGAGCGAGGAAAAATAATCATTACCTCTGGGTCACACCCCCTTTGATTGGGTGGGATGAAGTGGGCGAGGATAAGACGCTTTGAAAAATTTAAACTGCAAATGCGGGTTGAGTATGTTTTATGCGAGATGGGTGCGAATCGACAAGTTTTCAAGACTCAGCTCTGTAAACTTGTCAAAAAGGCTCTTGAACTCTGACTTCAGATCCAAGTCATTCTTGTTGTCATCATTGTCTGAATCTGAATCTGAGCTTGAGGATATATCTTGAGTGTCGTCTTGTTCCACGCGAGCAACAAAGTTAAGCATCAGTTCTTCATCATCACTCTCGCTTTCTGATTCGGTA